TCAGGTTGAGAGATCTCACATCTACAGTGGTCCTTATGTGAGTTAAAATCCCTGATTTCCAATTCAGCTTTTTCTGTGTTGCTGTACCTGTCTGCTTGTATGTGTCATATCGTACCTCTGTTACCCAATTAAATGTATCATTTTCTACCCTTCTGTATTTTCTGAAAATCTTTAAAGTATGCATAAAATCCCTGATTTCCATATCTGGAATGTGGTCCCAATATTCTGTTCTTGGAGACCTTGCATGGGCAAGCTGACAGCCTAAAGCCCCTGCAGATGGAGAGATCAGGAATGCCTCATTTCAAAGCTCTTATCTTAATACAGCACAGGACTCAGGAGTTGGTTCTTAGACCATGTGTTATATCCTGCTACCATCTGGTAATTTGGGAATTGGTAAAAGTTTTACTGGGCTCCATGCCTCAGTGGACCCATATAACAGTGCCTACGCCAGGAGGCTCCAGTTTTTTGCTAGTGTTTTTGGGTGATGCACCCATTCCCTTGTTGGCAAAAGGGTTTTTTCTTTAATTCTCCTTTAACACTTTATCAAGATTCAACTGCTTATTCCCTAATGGCTCCCTAGCAGTTTGTAGGTTGGTTACCTGCAGCGTTTTTAAGGCTTAAAACCGGCTATGTGTAAGCAACGTAATGCCTCCTGGTCTCCTATCAAATGACCTCTGACGGACGCTCCACCACAAATTGCTCTTCAAAGGGCACCACAAGTGTAAGAACGTATTTGTCCTGACTATTATTGTTCCGCCTGCTTGACCTTACTGGTAATCTTATTCTAACAATTTACATTTTGTACTGTTTTCTTCCACCTCTACCAAAATTTTCCTCTAGCTGGTAATGTGCTCATAAGACTCCTAGCTGCGCACTTGCACCTGCCATTTCTGCCAAAGATGCAAGCTGATCGTTTGCTGTCTCACCTCTTTCCTGTTACTTCAGAGACACAGCCTCAGGTGCTCTGTTGGCACTTAGGTTATTGTGATTCCTTCTTACTGGACATCCTGAACCCCCTCAGACTGCATACATTCCATGAGTATTTTGCTGGTGAAGAGCCACACTTGGCGATGGAGGAAGTACACTGCAGTAGAAGCACATGGGAGATTCCGCTGCAGGCCCGGAGGAAACTTCAGGCACCTCTCAGGTTGATAGTGGTTCCCTTGTTCACTGACTGTGCTTCACGCTCCATATGCAGCCTGGCTGACTAAAGCATAATTTTCTGCCACTGTGTCTGATCTATTCCAAAGGTTATTACCACTTTTTGAATCAGTGGGTACCAACACCTGTAAATGCTCTTCTGTCTCTCTGCCCCCCTGATTAACTTAATAAACTAGAGCCTAAATTGTGTAAATTCAACATGTGATCACTGATTGGTCATCAGCTGTGTCCAGTGGAAACAGAGTGCACAGGATGGGAGAGCACCACAAGGTATTGCAAGTTCAGTGTAAAACTACTTTGAAATGTGGATAGATGGGGAGCAAAACACTCATATTACCTCACATTACTGTTGCTATTAACTTGTTCCCGCTTGGCCATTGTTTGTCTATAGGCCGGGCAGGAACTAGCTAATGGCAACCCTAATTTGAGGGGTTTTACTCCCCATCCATCCACGCTTCAAAGTAGTTTTTACATTGGCTGAACTTGCAATACCTTTGTGGTGCTATATCATTAGAACATTTTTATATATTTTTTTTTTTTTTTTTTCCTCCAAAAAAAGCTGCCAACTCAAATCCCACAGGCCAAAGCACAGGTGCTATCACTAAATCCTATGGTTGATGCCTCACCTTTCTTGGGCTCCTTCCCCCAACCTTGTACTGCTTGAGATGTCTGTCTGTTCCTCCTATATTTATAAATTACATACACTTCAACAGAACATTTTTTCTATTACTGACTACAGTGAGTTCAGTTGTATCTTTGAGAATTTCCCTCAGGTTCTACTGGCAAATTCCTTTGGGGCAGCCAATGCCTGGTGTCTCCAGTCTAGGTTTCTGGAACCCTAATCCATGCTACGTTTGGAGCTTAGTGCTATAACATGGCCCCCTGTTTTCCCCACGACGTTCAGACCCTGCCCTGAGTTTTGAGTGGCCTTCCCTCTTTGTACTTGGGTCAAAGATCACCAGACTGCCTGTTTTTTATGAACTGTGAAATCTTCCTGTTCTCATCTCCTCAAAAGAACTTGCCTTGGCGCTAGTCAATGTCTTTTATCAACCTAATACTGGAAAAGGTTGACTTGCCTCTGTTCTTAGAACTATCATGCTTTGTTTGTCTCCTCCATGTGGTCTGTAGGCACTTGTCTGCACGTCTCCTCAAATTTCTTTCAATTATTGTGACTGCTGTAGAGACCTTCAACTAGAGATCTCCAAGTCACTGATATTCACCGGTTGGGTGCCCCTCCCCTTTTTCCTCACCTAGTTTGATGACGGGGGGAACCACATTCTAGAAAGTGGAATGAATGCCTAGCCCCCTATGTCTTGACTAGACCTTTTGTATCCTCCTAACATTTTGGCTTTGCACTCCTTGTGCAATTCCTTTTTCAAGACATTCCTCTTTGTCACCATTGCCATTTTCAGTGCTTCTCTGGGGCTTTCTCATGGCCCTTTGCTCATTTAGAGTCCTCCCTTTGTGCTCAAAGGGGGTTCCCCCTTTATAAAGGCCTCTGTAAAAAAAAATGAACCTTTTATCTTTCGATTAACCCTAGCAGCTCTAGTTCTGCCTTGACTCCCCCCGGTGTTTTTCCTGGGGGCCTCTTCACTTTCTTACACTTCCTGGAAGCCAGTGCTTTTTGCTTCTTTGGTACCTTTTTATATCGTGTCCTGGGGAAAAGTCGAACTTGCTCCATATTTCCTGACTTGAAAGCATGTCAAACATACAATTTGCCTTATGACTAGGATCAGGAACGTCATCGGTCTCCCATGCATTCCCTTGCCAATTGACCCCTCCTCTATTCCTCAGACAGTTCCTCCTACACCTGGCTGGGTGGTTATTTTGCCTTTCTTTCCAGGGATCCTGCCCATAGGGAATGATTCCCTCTTTTCCTACCTGAGCCTGTTCTTCCAAAGAGGTTTGGATTATTTTTACAACATATAGCATCGGCCCTTCTTAAGGGTCGCAGGGCCACAATCTGTTTCTTGTTCACGTTTTCAAAATCGTTTTTTGACAGGTGGCTGAGCTTCTGCTGATCCTGCTTCAGCTACTAGGTGCTTCTGCTGTCCATTGACCCTTCTTGCTCTTCCTCCTTCCTTATTGCTTGGGGACTTCCTTGGTCTAAAAATCAACTCTTGTGTCCTTGGCTGTATGACTTAAGATAATAGGAATTTTGATATACCTGTAAATTTCACTTGGAGTACAGGACACCAGTCCCTCACCTCTTCATCTGATCTCCTTACTGCTTTCTAAAAAAAAAAAAAAAAAAAAAAAAAAAACCAAACTATTAACATATAACACACTAAGAATAAACTCCTGTGTTCTGTATTGTACTCTAAGATATGGATTTACAGGTATGGCAAAGTTCCTATTTATGCTTAAGTACATGTAAATAAATTAATATTAATATCTATAGTCCGTCCGCAGTTGCACTTTAAACTAAGTAGTGTCAGAATGCTAATGTTTTAAACCAGTAGCTTTTGTTTATTCCTATGTAGGAGCAGCTAAATTTTGCCCAGTATGTGTGCTTCCCGTTACAGTGGTAGAACACAATGGGGAGGATTGTAATATTTATGCAGACTAAAAAATTGCAAACTAAATTGTGTATTTTATCCCAATGTGCATGTGCTTGACACTGCTTAATTATGTGGTGTGTGGTTTTTTTTGTTTTTTTGTTTTTTTACACATTTCAAGGTGTGGAATGTTTTGTTCATTTGACTGCATGTTTTATTTCTGTTTTACATGACCTTTTATAAAATAATTTGGCTTTTAGTACAAGAAAAGTAAGGCACTTTTTTATGCCTGCTTTCCACTTTCATTAAATCCAGACAGGAAAATTTAAAATGGCACTCTCAATTTGGTCAGACCACATTTTAGAAGTCATCAGTCATTTTCTCAAATGAAGTGTATTTATACTGTTGTGTTGCTGGCCGTTACCTCTCGGCTGAGGTTGGTGCAGATTGTCTGACACATTCACAGGTATGCCATCTAGTGTCTACAATCTCTATTTGGAATATTTCAATTAGACGGCAAGTACAATATGTGTGGGGAAAAAACACTTGAAAAATCAGTTGATTACCAAAGTAACGGCACATATTCGAAAGTTCCTGTAAAAGTCCTGTTCACTTTGCTTTTTATTTGTATGCATGTGCTATGATGTTAGTGTACTTATTGTATACATATTGGATTTATTTCTATTATTAGGCTTTAGTTATAGTGCATCATTTTTAGCTAATCCCTTTGCACATCTGAGTCTACATGTGTTCATGCATTAAAGTGTATGTCTAGTCAATGTTTTTCTAATTTTGGATAGTGAGGGGATAGATTATAAGTCATGCTGAGTTTTTACTGCTATCTGTGGTACCGTTGGAGTACTTTACCTTCATTCCTTTACCAGACAAGAAGAAAAAAATCTGCAACAGGAACACACATCAAAAAATTCTAAAAGGTGTTAGCTTTTCTCTGCTCCACTATAGAAAAGCATTTTTGTATACCTCTGTGTTGCTGTTGTAGCGTTCCCCTCACTTTCTGCCTGGTAAAATGTCAGCAGGACAGGAAGTGAGAGAGGGATTTTTTTTTTTTTTCTCTGGAAGAGCCCTGGCTAGCAGTACAACTTTGATAGTGATTCTAGCACTTCCCCTATCTATCCAAAACAGAGTTTTGGCTGGACATACTTTTTGTGTTAAATTGTTTCTTCATATAAAGTTTTTTTTTCTCTGTAGGTTTGTTCATTATAGGTCTGACAATACCAGAAAAGTACACATGGTGGTTTTTTTCTGTTCTCTTTGACTTCTAGGGTAGACATAGCACACCTCTGCCTATACAATCTAAGTGTTATTCATAAAAAGAAGTACTTTGATTCAGAACTTGAACTCATCACTTATATAAATGACAACTGGGATCTGTTGCATCCTGGTGAGGTAAGTACGTTGAGTCAGTTTCTTACCTAAAAGTCCTGTACAAATCTTTCCAAGCACGTAGAACAAGGTTTTTCAACCTGGGTTCCATGGAACCCTAGGGTTCTTCCAGAGTTTTCTTTTGTAAAGCTGCTTTCAGACAGATGCGGTACAGTTTGACCGCACTTTGGGAGCAGCACAGTGTACCTGCAGGCTTGGTCTGGGTTCACTGTGTTTTCCAATAGAGATCCATTCGGTCCTACGGTTTCGGTGCGCTTTCTGAAAGTGCACAAAAGATGCTGGAGTTTCTGAATGCGCTCCAAAGCCATAGGACCTAATAGAACTTTGTGGGAAAGAGCAGCTAACCCGCACCAAACCCATGGGTACACTGTGCTGCTCCTGCGGTGCGGTCAAACTGCACACCATCAGTCTAAAAGCAGCCTAAGGAGGTAATTCTTCCTAATGACCACCAAGAACATTCTTCCCACTGATCATCACACTAATGTATCATGAGTTGTAGATATAGTAATTTTATCCGGGGTTCCCAAAAAAAGGTTTTTCAAGGATGTTTGAAAAGGTTGAGAACGGCTGATGTAGAATATACAAAATGCCCCAATTTGCAGTGACTAAGTGGTTAGCACTTCACCTGGCAGCCCAAAGGTTATCTATTCAAATTCCAACCACTGAACCTGTGCCCCTGAAGTTCTTCCTGTGGCTGCAAGGGTTTCCTTCAGGTACTGCAGTTCCTTTCCACACTCCAAGGGCATGCTGGTAGGTTAATTGGTTCCTGTCTAAATTGGCCTTAGTATGTATGTGTATGTATGAATGTAAGTTGGGTACCATACATTGAAAGCTGCTTGAGGACAGAGTGATGTGAATGTACAATATATATGTATAGCTCTGCGTAAATTGTTGGAGAGCTATACAAGTCCCTGTAAATAATACATTTTGGTTAATATTTTTATACTTTAAATTTAGGTTAGTTTGTGTTTCCAATTTTGCAGGCAAATTTGAGAAAACCCCACTGTATGTTTCCCCATTTACACAGTATACCTGTGAAAAAAGGTTTATAAAAATATCTTGGCATTTTTACATTTTTCTTAGGAGAAGGTGTCATGGCTGACTGCAAGAATTTCTGAACATGGGCAAAGTGATTTTGCCCCAATAAAAAGGCAAGGACAGGCTCTGCTTTCTTTCAATAACATACAATAAAGAAGCCCAGCTTCTAAATCGTTAATTTGTTAGGATAGACACTGTTCAACTTGGACCCTAAGATTTGTTTATTGGGAGAGCTAGATGAGAAAATCTATATTCCACATACATATATTGCAGTTCGAGTCCTGTTAATTTCTTGGAAACTCGCAGCCCAGAGATGGCTATCTCCCACACCCACCCCCTTCTCATATGCCATGGAATATGGCTGTCAATGACACCCTAATTGGAGAGAAATTTAGTTTTTCAACAGGGGTTGTCTGAGAAAATTTACAAATATTTTGGATGTGTGGCTAGGCACACCTGGTCTAGCACCATTCCAACTAGTCAGGAACAGAATACTAAGTGGGGGAGTCCCCTCTGGTTTGACATAATGCTCCTGCTCCTTACCTTTATAGCATATTGCCTGTTGAACAGATACGCATGGCCATAGTCCAACACCATCACTATAAATACCCCAAACTTACATCTTACGTCTCTCATTGCATAAGACTTTAGGTGTGCATTGGAGCTGCTCATATGTCAAGTCTACCTCTTAAACATGGCCTGTATTTAATTCGCTGAAAGTAGACACATTGAGGAAGCTTGTTCACCAAAGTTTAGTTTAGTTAAAAAATGTTTTTTTTTTTCTCAAATTTTTATGTTTTATGGTCTATGCTCATGCTATACCCTACAAACCTTATTGTGAACACCTATGTATTTCCAGTTATTCTACATCATTTGGAAGCAGAAATGTTGAGTTTAATCTTTATATTTGCTATTTCATGCCTAGCCGCGTGGGGCAATTTTGCCTAATGCTGTATTGACTTTACCTTTAGTGTTTGTATATAAATAACTGTGCGTATGTATAGACTGAATTTTTAATTTAAAAAAAAAAAGCACTTTATTTAAAAAAAAAAAACCACACTGTTCAGATCTAATTTACATTTGATAATGAGATTTGTCAGCACAGTGCAGACATTTATGGAAAACACAGCTCCCCAGCCCCTCATAGAGTACCAAGTCAAATTTTCAATGCTGAAGTTATCAGAGAAGAGCATCTGAAATGGTAAGCAGCAACTTAATTTTTCAAACATTACATTGTACTACTTGAATGGGGACATGTAACAAATAAAGTAGGTATCATCCCAGTCTGCCTGCAAAAGGGGAAATACACTTAAGGTTACTAATACAAATATTTTCTTTTAAAGTGCTTGTAATCCTCTTGACATGAAATATGAATAAAGCATATCCCTCTATAGTGTGCACTGGTCTCAATCCAGAGCACGAAGTGTAATTTTGTTCCTCTACTGTATGCATGAATCACTTCTGACAAATTTTCCTGACACTAAGGTAAAAAGGGAGAGAACTCAAGCTCAAAGCCTGTGATTGACAGATTAGCTCTATTCCTGTGTGATGAAGAGTGTGTCCCTTCCCTCCACTCTGCTCTCACTGAGATCTAAAGAGTGTGACTTTAGCTCTCTGCCCCCTGCTTTCTGAAAGCTCAGACAAGCTATATGAATTTTGGCCTCTGAACAGATATAGAGAAGACAGTATTGCAGATCAACAGGTACAACTTATGTAGGAGGATATGGAAGGGTTTACCACCACTTTAGAGCTTTTTGTGAGTTTTTAGATTCAACAGCTTTTTGTTATAACTGACCTAAATTATCCCAGTTTAACTATTTTCTTGTCCATTAAGGGACACATTGTAGGGTCATACTCCCACAACTGGACACTGGAAAACAAAGTATCTGTATGCCTAGAATAACCCCTTCTCTACCCAGCGTGCCTCAGGTTTTATGCTAGTATCCAAAAAGGATGGATGTCGTTTCTTCAGCTCTGTTTAGCAAAAGTCCTAGCTTTCTTGAATTCAAACTTTTTTTTTTTTTTTTCTTAGATTCCTTGCGACACCACTGCTTGTGCTGGTTTATACATGGCAGCATCCAACCTTTCTTCAGCCTTGGCATGCCATGCCTGGACCCTGCTGGACTGGATGTTGTGGTGAAAGCAAGGAAGTGACTTTCAGCCACAAGGTTTCATGTTGGGCACTTTCCAGCCTGCACTCCGATTAACAAGTTGTGGAACACCTTCTAGGTCCAGAGCCTTTGGCATTGCTGCAGCACTTGCCCTTTCTCTGAAGACTCGCTCTGTGAGGGCCATTTGGGCTGGGCATCAGAAGCTATATTATTTGTACTGCTGGGCAACAGTTTTTATTTTCCTGCTACAGCTGGTTTTCTGCGGAGTGGTTAATGCTGAAGGACTGAGCACTGATGTCAACTTCTGGTTAGATTGTTACATGCAGGAATGCTCTTTCTTCCTGCCATTCAGCATCGAAGAAGCATTGTCTCGATGCTGCTCCTTATTTGTAAGAGAGCTGTGAATCTCCAAACTGTTCCTACTGCCTGTCAGCAGTGACCTTTGGTCACCTACAGCCTTCAGACCCTCATCTTCCACCAGCTGCGTGTGAGTACTTGAGGCCTTGCCTTCTACCCTGAGCTTATTTGCTTGATCATCACATGACCAAAACATGTCTGCATCTAGATACTAAGGCACAGTCGTCCTGCTACAGTTGACCCCAGTTAAAACTAATGTTCTGGTTGCATGTATTCCTGTACCCTCAAAGGGCACTGATGTTTCTAATTGAGAATCCTTTGACCCTGTGGTTTTCGGGTCTACATCATTTGATTCTCTTTTAGCTCCTTCAAGTGAGCCAGGGTCCCCTGCCTTTTTGTCCGATGCCCCTGCTGCAGTCATACAGGGATTTTGTGACCAAATTCAGCCAATTCCTTATGGGTGCTCACGACAGTCTCTGTTAGACTATTTTTGCGGAACTGCAGTCTTCTGTCATTTGCTCAGATGTACAAGAGGCATACATACTACTCTGCACCTGGAGAGTCAGCCTACTGTTATTGGCCTTGGGTGCTTCAGAAACCTTACAGCTACAAGGACCTTTCCACTACACCCACTATTTGTGGTTTTCCACAATGCAGACTGGAAGCACCTTCCAGGGCATTGAAACTGTGCCCCTTTTTTGAGAAGCAATTCGTATTTGCCCACTCTAAATTGGCCAGTGACCCACATTAACAGGAAAACCAACAGGCAAGTACTGGTTTCACTGGTAGGTGCTTCCTTTTACCCTGTCGTGCCTGTGATATTAACTACTTAAGGACCACGCAATGTACATATACACCATCAGTATTAGGTGGGTAATACAAGTTCACGGCAGGAGTAGATCTGAGCTTGGTACCGTTTTCAGCGTGCAATCGACTTTCACAAACAAGCTAAATACCTGATTTACTTGTGTGGGACTGAAAAGGTGATGCATCGCTGTGTATACTGTTCTCCGCAGAACCTACAAAGGTGGGTGTCTGCGGGGAGACCAGACAGATTAGTACACATCTGCTGCCTGATCTCTACTCTGGCGAATGAAGCCGGAAATGACTAGGATTTCAGCATTTCCAGTCTGGCCGGAAAAAAAGCTGGCGAAACGCAATCTGTGCTTGATCAGCAAATCTTTAAAAAAAAGAAAAATGTAAGTGGCATATAATTGAGCATTCTAATGAAACACATGCTCCATATCTGGAACTCCACCAAATACTTCAGTAAGTTGGTTTCATCACAGTTTCTTCTACCACTTCTGGGCAATGCATTGTTTCTCCAGAGAATGGAATCTCCTCACGCTTTTCACTGGTGGAACTTTTGCAGATGTCATTATGTCTACTATTTCATCAAAAGCTGCCCTGTACCTGGATGGAAATCTGTGAAAAATTCCATGCCCCATCTTCTGAATGTTTCCTTTTTTCTACAAATAAAACATTGGCTAGCCACTGAACTCAATGATGAGGATCTCACAACGAAGGTCTCACTTTCTGAGCATATCTGCTATCGTACACCTACCGTACACAGGGAAGGTAGGCTTCAAATCTGGTCTACAATGGCTTTTTGCTCTAGTAATATAGCTACATCTGAATGGGCTTTCAAGACCATTGTGAAATGGTACATGGTTCTACCCCAATAAGCACATCTCCACCCGTCCCTCCCTGGCACATGCTTTCATGACTGTTTGGCCTTGGGTCATGTTCTGCTTCCCACATGGTGGAAAGGTACCATGCTCCTTAGGTTTTGGACTGAACTTCTTAAACTCTTAGCCTCTGTGCAGTTGTCCCTTCCATAGAGATTCCTGGTATGCTCTGCTCTAAAATCTACAACCTTGAAATCTCAATTCAAACTAGCAACTGATGTCCTGCTGGTGGTGAAACACAATAGCAGACGCTTGGAAGCAACTGTTTGTCCACTTCAGAGGTCTGTTGCCGGGTCAATGCATTTTCAATAATGAAAAACATACCGGTGTCCCTTTTGGACACACACAGGAAGTTCTTGAAGATGAGGACCACAGGATACAATATGCCCACTCTTAACTGTCCACAGCAAGCTATTTGTCTCTATAGGTATTCCTCTCTATTCTTTTTACCTCCCCACTACAGAGGCTTTTATACTTCTCTTTCTGCTCTCGCCATATGGCAGATCTAATATCTTAATTTGGTTCAGCAGTAGTTCTTGGTTAATAGTTTGCAATTGGCCTGCACTTTTGCCTGGCGTTATACACCACCCTTGCAATACCAGTTTATAATCCAGAATACTTAGTCTCTAGTTTTATTTCGTCAAATTTAGACTTGAGCTCCTTGACTATTATTCTGAAACTTACTGGTGCATTACTTTGATCTAAATGCCTGTACGTCATAATCTGTATTTGGTAAAACTTCAATACAAAAAAAATTACTGAAATTGAAAGTGGCATATAATAAAGACAAATTTTAAAGTCCCTAGTCAAATGCACATATAAACACAAATGCACCAACATTGATTGCATCACACAAATATCTTTGGCGTAAGGACAATACTTCTAGGGTCATCATTCGCTGTTATCACAAAACTGACGATTGGTAAAGGCTTTCAAAGCGTTATGGGCAATTTTGTGCACCATAGTTTTTTTTTTTTTTTTTTTTTTTCTTGAGCTTTCATGGCATGCGCATTTTTATTTATATTTTTTTTTATTTTACGTGCTTGCGACTGAACACAACCCCATCTTTTAAATTTTTCCAAAAATCAGGTATTCTGTTTATGTGCACTAAAATTCATTTTGGTGTATTTACCTAAAATATCAATTTAGTAGACATTTTGAGCAAATCTAGTGCAAAATAAAAAAAAAATGCAACTACTATTTATTTTAATTGTGCAGGGCTGTCAGAGTGTGTAAACATTTTGGAAAAAAAATTGTTCTGGTTCCGGAGTGGTGGATCTGTCAAACTGTGGCAGAATGAGTTCAATCCCTAAAGACAACCCTCCTTCAGGCGATATATGGCTGTTAGAGCATTTGAAACCGGTATGTAGAGCACCATGCTTCAGTTGTGCTTGCTTGTTAGAAGCATCTAAACTTGTTTGGTATGGGTTGATGGTCCATACAAATATGCAGAGCTGTCTCACTGAGGTGCTGGGAGACAGATGCTGTAAACAGGAAGTACCTGACTGGCTTGATCTTGATACGCTGTCTCTTCAGACCTATCCTTGACATGTCATCATCATCATTATCCTCATAATCATCCATCCGTATCACTGTAAGCCTGAGCATAAGAAGGCCAAGAAAGTGCTGACAGAATACTTCTAGAGTAGATTCATTTAGGCCCTCTGCTTCTCAAGCAGCCTGCAAGGCTGAAAGCAAGAAGCTTACTCAGTACTCGGTGGAGCCTTCAGCGAAAAGGTGCGCACCCCACACTTTCCAAAATAGGGGGCTGATTCATTAATCCCATTGGGCATTCAGGTGCAGAGTGCCCCTTTTTTAGGTCCTCCAGGATACCGCCTTACCTTCAGCACTCTCTTCAGCTACATACCTTTTTTCTACCTAATGCCACTGCACGGATTAACAGATCTTGCCCCCGTTTTGGGTTCTCAACTTACAGCTATGACTCTATTTCCTGTGTCTTTAACCTAAGGAGCGGTGTCTTATCCTGCCCACCACCCTTTTTCGCCTCTGAGAAATCTTCTTTCCTTGTGGCATGTAAGGTGGTGTCATTCCTTTTTTCTAGATGGACTTGCCTGGTCAACTTGGGGTTGACTTTAGAGGCAACAATGAGGATTCAGAATCATGTTTGGGTGGAAGACTGCTAAACACCTTGTTCTTCTCAGTGTGGGCTCCTATATCTTTGATGGTGTCTTTTCCTGGCATCCCCATTGTGGGAAACTAAGACCTCATGTAAAGAAAGATGTCACCATGGGCCGGGAGGATGACTTGTCGAGGGGCTATATGTCTGCAAGATCTGACTGGGTTTTGCTTTGCCCAGTTTCAGTGTTGGAAACTACATGTGGGTAGTGTTAACCAGCAGACCTGTGTTGAAGGGGTTTACAGCAGGGTTGCCATCAGACAGTGAGTTATAGGTCTCCTCTCTTGCAGGAAAATGAAATGATAAATGATCTTCTTCTAAGAGGCACACCATTTCTTCTATCTCCACTTGGTCCACCTCAACCTCTTATGTTGTTGTGGGTCTAGTTCCTGAGCAGATCTGTTACCAGTACCATGGGTCTCAGTCTTACTCATGCTGATCCACTTAAGGTCTATCCTCTGGAAACCTGTTGTTCTTTCCCAACTTTCGCTTATGGACATGGAGTTTCACACACCTAAGGTGCACTGCAGACCTTACAGTACATTTCAGGCAAAGTATGTCGAAGGAGGTCCTTGTGTGTCGCTGGGCTACTTGCAGGCAAAACAAACTGGTCTTCTGTTGCAGATATCTGTGGGATCTGTCCACCTGGGTTTATGTCCCTGACTATGGCTGATCTGCAGATGCCTAACAAGGCCTTTCTGGCACTGTTCCTACTTCTGGATTCACTCGGGTGAATGTTATTTCACTGTATTGAAGAGTCTTGTCCCTTGTTTCATAGATGCTGCTGCTTTTTATTGAATTGGGAGTTTGGAGCATTCTTAGGACTGATCGGAGGGGGGGAAAAGAGGGGAAAAAAAAAAAAAAAAAAAAGCTTCCCCTATCCACACACATGTATGAAAGACCAGCTGTCACAAGTATAAAGGCACACTTCTACACACTGGGAAAGTTAATGTACTTATGTAAATATATATATTTTTTTTCTCTATTCATAAAGGTTTTAAACTCTTGAGATACCAGTCTCAAAAAGGTACATTTCAGAGGTGTCGCTGGCTGCCAATAAATTGATTTGGCTTGGTAGATAAATAACACAATCTTTGGTAGTAATAGAACTATTTTGTTGCTATCTCTTTAGTGCCTTCTAGAACATTTCTGTATTTAAGAAAAACCTGTTACTTTCATGGAAAATAAGTCTTTATGCCACAACTTTTTTTAATTTTATTTTTTTTTTTTTTAAGCTGGCAGACACACCCAAAGCAGAACGATATGAACGGATCCTGGATGCATTAAATGAGAATAAGACCATGTAAGCTGAAATTGTTTGTTTTTAGCTTTTGCCTGTGCAGTATACATTTTTTTTTCATCGCAGAAAAGAAGACAGATGTCACGTGTAACCCCTCCTTTATGCTGTCATTAATAAAAAGTTTGTTTTTAGAGTTTTGTAATTCTTAATCAAAATATTTTGTTGAACCAAGGAAGTCCATCTTTTTCCAAAATGGATATGGCTTTTGTGTTGTAGCAGTGTTTAACCATTTCAATACAGGGCACTTTTACCCCCTTCCTGCCCAGGCCATTTTTCAGGTTTCAGTGCTCTCACACTTTGAATGACAATTGCGCGGGTCATACAACATTATACCCAAACTTAAATTTTATCATTTTCTTCACACAACTAGAGCTTTCTTTTGGTGGTATTTAATCACCACTGGGATTTTTATTTTTTGCTAAATTAACAAAAAATGACTGAAAATTGTGGAAAAAAAACACGTTTTTCTTTGTTTTGTTATAAAAGTTTGCAAATAAATAATTGTTCTTCGTAAATTTAGGCCAAGATGTATTCTGCTACATGTCTTTGGTGAAAATAACCCAAATTAGGATGTATTATTTAGTTTGTAGGAAAGTTGCAGAGTTCACAAACTATGGTATAGATCTGAAAATTGATCAATCCTGAAGTACTGATGCCCAATCTAATTTCTTGAGGTCCAAGAATGTCAGAACAGTACAGATATCCCCTAATGACCCCTTTTTGCAAAGTAGACAGTCCGACGTATTTCATAAGAGGCATGGCGAGTTTTTTGAATTTTATCATAATTTTTCAGAAAATTAAAAAAATTATTTTTATTTTTTTTTTTTTAACACAATTTGCTTATAGCAAAGAATTACTTTGCTATAAGCAAGCATTTAACTGAAATGACATCGATTCATTCAGGTTCTTTTTTTTTTTTTTTTGTGCTTAGCTGTGATTTGGCCATGGCTAATCACATGACACAGCTGGGCTGTGATTGGCCCAGCTTGTGCATGTGATCGCTGTGACCAATCACAGCTAGACACACTAGTATACAATGGATGGCATGAATAAAGCCATCTATTGTATACAACTGTCATGTGACCTGCTGTAATTAGTCACAGCAGGTCACATGGTACCGGCAATGGGGCCGGTACTCAGATCTGTCATCGGCCGTGTCCAAGGTACACGGCCGGCGACAGATTGCGCAGTTCTGCAGGCGTGCAAACTGCGCATGATGCCCGGAGGACGCCATATGGCGTCCACCCGGAACGCTGAGGGATTTTGCCGGCCGCCAAACGGCCATTGGCTGGGCGGGCAAAAGGTTAAAGGGGTATACTGTTAAGGATTTAAATTGGTGAAAATGGGGGTCAGCAGCTTCGACTACTGTAGCTGTTGACTTTTAATAAAGGTACATTTACCTGTCTAAGGATCCAGCGCCATTCTCATCCGGACTGGTTCTTGACCAGTCTTCGGTCGCCAGTGCTGGCATTTTTATTGTGGGAACCTGGCTGTGACTTCTTGTGGCTTCCCACCATGTATGCATGAGCCTTGATATGGTAATGGTCCCACAGAGTCATGGGACCTGTGACATTGTCCGAAGAGGTTGCTGGCTAGGAGGAAAGGGGCCAAACGTCCGGTGAAGGTGATCTGACCGAAAATGGGAACGTGCATGTACCAAAACTAAGGTACCTGCTCCCACTCCGAAAAAAAGCCATCCATACTCAAAAGTAGCAAATAAAACCCTTCCCAATGGTTGCTGGTGGACTTTAAAAGTTGTTCTAAAGCCAAAAGGTTTTTATTTTAATACATTACTTGCATTAAGGTATAAAAAAGTCCACTAATTGTTCCCCCCTTCAGCCTTCCCCCTGGACACCACCCCACCCCACCCCTGAGCTTTGTATCAATCCAGCGCTGGTTCTCTTTCCCCTTACAGGTTCAGAGACCGCAGTAGGAGCCATTGGCCTTTACAACTGGCTCTCACAGCATGTCGTGCTAGAATTACACAGTGAGTGCACTCCCAGCACACAATCTTGTGCTTCCATGAGTACTTGTGTGGCGACAGACCTTAAATTCCACTTTTCCTGCCAATGCATATGTGCGTTGTGTTTTTGGGAATAGGTTAAAAATATTGGCAGATATTTTGTCCTCATTGGATACAGTTTACATCACTTCTGCAGATTTATGTTAAATATGTTTTGCTGCACAGGTTTATGTCTGGGAAAGAAATCAAGAAAAAGAAACATTTGTTTGGTCTCAGAATTCGAGTCCCTCCTGTTCCTCCAAATGCTGCTGTGAAACTGGAGAAAGAAGAGAGCACATCACATGAATTCAAGATTAAAGGCAGAAAGTCCTCAAAGCTTCATCCGGTTACAAAGTAAGTAGTAGCAAAATCTTTTAACATTCATCTGTGCTTTCTGCTTACAAACCACATACCTTAATGACATTCCCCTCTCCCAGTTCTCCAAGTAGAGATGGAGTGGAGCTGCTCATGCGAACTGAATGATGTAGAAACTGTGCTGGGCTTGATTTTTAGACCAGCATTCATTATGCACTTTGAAGTGTGGAAGTACAGTGAGAAATTTATACCCATCTATAAAGTAATGTATAAACTTCAAAACCTAAAACATTTTTACTTTGAAAAAGTATAACCTAATGAATTATACAACACTACTGTATGTCTGCTTCCAGGTAATGCTTTACTTTGGTAAAGGCTGTCTTGGCACATATGGGACATTTTCCATGGGTATTATGTGTGTAAAGTGCAGAATCTGTTCCCACTTTCCATTAGTAGGAATACAAATTGTACATTTGCCCCAGTTTTTGCATTTTTTAAAATGTTTTTAAGATGCAAGCATGCTTAGCTTTGCATGATGGTAGCAGAAAATTGCACAGAGTAGGATAAATGTAAGCCTGCATCTGTGGGTAGCAAATTGTGGATAACAAACTATAAGCTCTGAACAAGTAGTTGTGACTGTCTGGCTTTTGTCATTTTTCTTCTTTATTCTAGAGAAGAAAATAATGGAGAAGTGAAGAAGAGGAAACCAGTAGGTCGCCCACCAGGTTCACATAGGAGAAAGATCTTACAAAATGACACTCTCGATGCTGCATCGGTAATCAGAAACCTATATGTTTAGCTCATAGGTGGCAGCAAAGATACTTATAGGTGGTAGGCTTCAAACCTGAGTGACAAAAATATATTTCTAATACAGAAACCTTTTCATAGTATCATTTATAAGTATGCTAATGCTTTGGCTTTCCCTTATTGGTTTTGTGGGAGTCGGTAATAGTCAGAAACAAAGAAAATTTCTGAAAGTAAAAGTTTATTTTACAGTCCACACATAATGTATGTGCCAAAATACTAATAAAGTAATCGGAATGCATAGATTTAGCATATATTGTTTAATACCTATGTATAATTTATACACTCACTAGCCACTTAATTAGGTACACCGTGCTAGTGCCAAGAAAATATCCCCCACACCACCACAAGCTTGTATCGTTGATGCAAGCCAGTGTGGATCAATGCTTTCAGGTTTACACAAAATTTTGACCCTGCCATCTGAATGTCACAGCAACCAGTCTGCCCATTCTCCTCTGACTTCAACAAGGCGTGTGTGTGTGTGTGTGTGTGTGTGTGTTAATCCGAATTTGTTTTTGTTTTTTTGCCTGAGTTCAGTGGTTCAAGCTTAAATATACAGACAGCTAAATGAATTAGGAGATTCTGAGATTGACTTGGCCAGGTTGTCTAGGTTCACACTTATGCATTTTGCAGTGCATTTTCAGATTTGCAGAAAAGCACTATAGTCCGTTTAACATGATTTCCTATGGGTCACATTTTCTACCGGTGCGTTTTTTGGAAAGGGTCAGGGACTTTGTCCACAGCAGATTGTGTATTTGGTTCTTTAGACTTGATGTAAATTCCTTTTTGGTGCGTTTCCTGCATGATTCCAGACCGATCCTAGCCACATTAACACATCCTAAAAACGCAAAATGCATCAAAAAACTGATCCAAAACGTGTGTGAAAAAATGCAAACTGCACCACAAAATGCTCCAGAAAAACGCATCTGCGCAACCTGCATAGGTGTGAGCTTAGCCTTAGAGAGTCCAACAGCTTCAGCACTTTCTTAGGGAACCAATAATGCTCTGTAATGTATTGGTTTAAAATGTATACATTTTAAAATTGACTAAAAGCCATTACAGTCGCCTTTTAACTTTTAATGTAGAACTAAAGGTAAAACATTTTATTGTTTATTTTGGATAGCGTAATTGAGGTTTATAAACCCTGTCAGGTTTTTAATTTTTTTTATTTTTTTTTTTTGTTGTCTGCATCCCATTGGGAAGATTCCCCTTCACTTCTTGACCCATAGTCAAAATAGGAAGTGAAAGGAAATCCTTCAAAGTGAGGCAGTCCCTAGTTGTAAGGAAAATCTTCCGATCTGTACTCCTAGTTTTGGTGACATTACTGTTCTGTTATGTAGACAACGCAGAATTTGGGACTTTCCTTTTCACTTTCAGTGATCATAATGTAACAAATAGAGAGTGTGAATCTACCTAATGGGGGCACAGGCAGCAAAAAGATGATATATTTTAACACCTCTCCTGTTTATCCAAACAAAAAAAAATGCCTTTTTATTATCCTTTAACTCTGTCACTTGAAATATGAGTAACTTTTTAATTCTTCATCCGTTTTGTTATTAGAAAATGGAAACCGATTCAGTGTTGGAGAAGAATTCCACATTGGAGTCATCCGATAATAAAAAGTAAGAACCGTTTTTGTTTCCTTTTTTGTTCTTGCCAAGGATGTTCTTCAATTTTTTTTTTTATTTTAATCTGTCTTGCAGAAAAGCTGAGGTCACCACTATCTCTGTTAATACCGATGTGGAGTCCAATGGTGCTGCAAGTTCTAAAGAAACTACCCTCAATCATCCTTTCCAGGTATGTGGAAAGCCATTAATACTGATTTTCAGAAGTACTCTCCTGTATGAAACCTGTTTTGTTCCCTAAAGCTGGGTACACACAGGCTGAAGATCAGCAGAAAAGTGTCGGTTCGGCAGGAACCAGCCAACTTTTGGCCTGTGTTTACACCTGTTCAAATGAAGCCGGTTTCATTACTGGCTTCTGTAGAATGAGCAGGCTGGAAAACCATGTATACCCAGTAACCGTGAAGCGCTCCTTACTATTAGTAAAAAAATGTCCAAATATATTCTCAGAAGGTGCACATACACAACAATGCTCATAAATTACACTATTATTATATATCATGTGCACTAAATAAATGGGGGGGGGGGGGGGGGTGAAAAATGTCCAATATATCATCCAATTTGGTTTTAAGTGTCTAGAAAAAAAAAAAAGCAGCCACCACAGTTAATGTGCCTCCAATAAAGGTAAAGCTTCCACCATGGACTACCACCAATGAATATCACACATGTGCTCAAACAGGTGTTTCCTCAACTGATGCGGTGAACCCCTTTAAAATAATCAAGGTGGTCAGAAGCACTTTTAATCACAAAAAAGGCAACAGGTCAGCAGCACCCAGGTCACATCTCCATATTCCATAGCTCTTGCACAAATATATATGCAAAGGAGATTCAATAGTGTAGCATTGCCAGTGACTTTTTAATTAAACAAAAAAAAGAGTAACACTCGAACTGTGCAGAGACACATGCAAGTGACTGTTCACAGCAGCATATACACAGTGTAGCTCTGTTGGCTCAGCGAGATGGTGCCTTTAAGAAAGCTTGTAGGGGCAATATGAGTGTCAGAACAAAGGGGTGGGTGATTGCTGGACTAACATCGCATAGTTAGTACAACAACCTTGTTCAGCCCACTGGGTTGAATGAAAAAACTTTGTGTACCCAGCATTAGCTACGCATGCGTTAGGTTTATTGTGAATTTGAACATTGGTGTCTGAAAAAGAGCAATTCTTTTTAGCCCATGTGCGTTTTTTTAGGTGTGGTACAAAAAAAAATCCTGCTTGCCACATATTGATGCGCTTTCACGAAACCAAATCGATATGCACCTAAAAGGCAGCACACCTAAACCTCATATGTGAACCAGGCCTTAAAGTGCTTCATATATAGGCCCTATAATAATCCATTTTGTACACACATAATACAGTATGTTGGACTCTAATATTCAGGGTTTCAGAAATTGTTACATTTATTTCAAAACGTTTTAGTAGTTCCTGCATTATTGAATTGTTTACACTGAGTTATATTTAAAGAAATCTTGTGTAAGGAACGAAAAGGTGTACAAGCAGTAATTTATCTGTGCTAATAGCACTAGTGTAAATTGTGGCACACAAGCTAATCCTTATCCAGGGTTTTAAAAGATACGTTCACAGTTTTGTAACATGTAACTTGTGTTACCTTACCTGACAGCAGGAGGGGGATGTTGTTCCCACACCCACTGTCAAAATGTAAAAAACTGTGGCTGTGCGGGGCTCTGCCCACACAGCCGCATCATTCATTCACAGAAGTCTGTGAATGAATAACTACAAGTCCTGTCTACCACTGCGGCAGACTGCTTGTGGTTTTCAATGAACTGCGAGGTCGCATGTGAGCACTCCCGTAGTTCGACACTTCTTGCACTTCAGTAACTGTCTGCAGGAGCCTGGCATTTCATCTGCGATCCACTGATTGTGGGTGCAATGCTTTTGCAGGCTGCAGTGTGAAATTTTTTTTCCCCTACAAAATTTACGTGCATTTATTTATTTTTTTGTTACAAAATATGAACTTGGACTTTAAAAAGGCTCTGAAATAAAGTTTAAAAACTGGTGCCTGGCTTTTGCAGTAACTTTCAATCCTCCCTTGTCAACACTATTTACTCGTTCCCACACTTTTTACTGGTCAATGAAGGCAGTCCATCATTTTGATGTGCAAATTAGAATTTATAAGAGGGGGGGAGTTGGCATGCAGCATCAACCCCACCAAAATATTTCAAAGCGCTACATATCAAGAAAAAAACTGATATTTGGCCAAAGCGAGGGGACTGAAGGCTTAGGCAATTGTGTGAAGGTGCCTGGTGTGAGTTTGGCCAGTCCAGGTTGGGTTAATTTACACATTGCTTTGGCAGAATAAGAATTCTCTGTAGCAGCACATGGCAAAGCAAACAGGCTTACTTTAATGTGTTATCCCCAGCAGTGCATACACTTGTCCCCCAACTTCTCTGTTCAGCTGCCAGAAGCAAAAGAAAAAAAAAATTCCTAGTGCTCTTGAGTATCAAGCTCCAGCAGCCATTTATTAATGGAGCAATGCTGAGCCAGCTCTGCCTAGTCTATGCCTGGCAAGGTCTATGTATAAAACCTTCAGTCACCTTCCCCAGAGTAGTAAAGTGTTAAGCTGGGTACACACTGTAAGAAAATCAGAAGAAAAATTCCTTATTCAGAGCGATCATTCCATTTTTGTATAGTGAGTACACAAATTTGACATCCGATTCAGGCTTTCCAAATGAAAATTTCATATAATGCGTACTGCTTTTGCACAATAAAAATCTGACACTGAAGAATGCACACAACAATAATAATCTACACTACCACTTTTCTACATCAAACAAAAAAAGCCTTTTTTTTTTCCTGAGAATTTCTGTGCAATTCGTACCATCCCCGGGTTTGACTTGGTGTGAAACATCAAGCTTTACCATAATGACACTGAACTAATACAAATGTTCGACATTGATTAAACAGTTTTATATATAAAAACACACACACACACATACGTACACACACACACGATCATGTGTAAAAAACAAATAAAAAATGTAATTTCTTCATGCATAGGCTGTCAGTACATCAGAACCGATCAATTTTCATATATACACCATAGTTTGTAGCGCTATACAAATCAATAATTGTACAGTTATTATTTTTTTTTTTTTTTTTACCAAAGACATAGCAGAATTCATTATGGCCTAAATTTATTATAAAATTCGATTAGTAAAAAATCTTGTTTTCCAAATTTTGCGTTTAAAAATAAAGATATCAATTTTATTTGGGTACAGTGTTGCATGACAAAGCGATTGGCAATTTAAATTAGCGCAGTTCTAAATAAGAAAGAATGGTCTGGTCATAAAGAGGATAAAACCTTCTGGAGGTCAAGTGGTTAATTTGTGGTTTTTGAAAAAAATACTGCATTGTAGCCCTAGATGGTGCTGACTATCACAAGAGATAATTGTTACAAACCATATAGCAAACATTAGAGGTGCCTATGCAAATAGTTCTTTCCACACATTGAATGTTTTATACTATATGCATTAAATTTTAAGCTTTACTATTCCATTATGATACATAAAAGTCATATGTGATGTCCTTCGAGTCAGAAGGGGTTGATTTATATTTTGGATATACATTTAAGGCTACACAGATTGTCAAAATTGCACTAGAAAGAAATTGCATGAAAGTTTCTTCCCAATTTTAAAACCAGAAAAAGGAAAACTTATGAAAGCATACTTCTTAAACTTGTACTGTATTGGTTCTGTGCTTCACGGTCCGTTTTTAGATACATATTCCTTTTGGGTTTCGAGTTATGACTTCACCATCTTTTATCACAAATAAAATAAATAGTTATGTCCCATACCGTGCAGGCTTCTGGTCCTGTACGGTCTAAACTGTAGGATTGCCCCATCCTCCTTTTCCTTGAACTTCGGGCATGCAGGGGATTATTGTCTTTGGGTCTCTGAGAAGAGTTCTGTAGAAAAAGCTCTTGACAGGGACCCGCTCCCCTCTTTCTATTGAGAACATAAGCTGTTCTGCTTGTAACATAATCTTTGAATGGGAAGAGAATCCCCCTCAATCTACTAAAGTGTTACTGGCAAGGAAAGCATTGAGAGAGCTATTGCAGTAAGAGGGCAGGAACTTTTTTTTTTTCTATTGAATTCAGCCTGGAGGGAGACCCAAAGCTATTAACCCCCTGCATGCCTGAAATTCAGAGACAGGAAGAGGACGAGGCATCTCTGCAGTGAAGATTTCTACTGGATCCAACAGCCTACAAGATGTTGGATATACATCATTACAGGTTAGCTACTGAATTCGTAAACCTAAAAATAATTTTTAACTTCACACTGATCTGTTTTTCACTTCCACTTTTGCATCAAAAAAAGGCAGAAGAAAAAAAAAACGTGTGACCTTGTATTCCTATGAAAAATGCATCAGACCTGCAATGGATCAGTATGAAGAGTTACAAAGTCCTGCTCACTGCATTTTTGGTGCACCAAAATCACACCTCCCCATTGAAATAAATGGAAAACACACCAGCAGTGCATTTTTGGTGTGCTTTTTCAATCGCAGGTCATGTTAAAAAATGCACCTCAAACGGATCAGTGTGAAAGTAGCTTTAAATTCATCTTTGTTTGGTGCTGCCATGTCCTTTGTGTCTATACCATTTCTTTTTGCTTTTTGGTCTAGTCCTCAGTCAGACTTGAGAAGAGTGACGCGCACAGGGAGGTCGTGGTCTACTACCATACCGCCACCCAGAAAAAGGGGTCGCCATCCACGGAAAGCTCTCCAGGTTCACAATTCTGAGATAGGAAGAAACGATGAAAGCAAGGAGGATTCTCAGCTTGCTGCTGTCAACACAGATCTAGTTAAAAATGTCACAGATCATGACTTGCAGCTCCACCATTTGAAGAATTCCATTACCAACTACTTTGGCGCTGCTGGGAGGATAGCATGTGGGGAAAAGTACCGCATATTGGCTCGTCGAGTCACACTTGATGGAAAGGTTCAATATCTTGTGGAGTGGGATGGAGCTACAGCCTCCTGACCACTGTGCTGGACAGCTACTTGTACTTCATATTCAGATTCCTTGAAGTGGAAATAAGTTATTTTTGTTCACCCTGTTCACTGCCAAAGTGCCTGCAATACTTCTGGTAGCAAATAGGTGCTGGAATAGAGAAAATAAGGGTTTATTTTTCATACAATACAAGCTTTTCCCAGTGATCATAAAAGATGACATTGCTTTAACCAAATATCTGCAGTAGTGCACATTTCTGGCAATGGTATGAATTTAACAGTATTTGTAATCGAGCATTAACATTTAGTATAATATGGTATTTATGTGTATCCCCTTTGCTGCAAGGGAACTCTGCATTGTCAAGTTGCTGCTCTTCAGAGAAAAATAAAATCTAAACAGGAAGTGGACTCTAAGCTTTAGACATATACGGTAAAATCAAGCCTGCATGTCCCTACCTAGCAACACTGTTATTCTTACAGGTTTACTAGGTTTTGGTGGATTTGATCCAGCCAACAGTTGCCGTTCTAGCAGGTTGCAGTACTGCATAAATCTGGGTACATCCCAGCAACTGAAAAAAACAACTGAAGAACTGGGGAGGAGCTCGCTGTACTAACTATCCGCGCTGTTGTGTTCTGACAGGGGGACTGAACCCCCCCAGGCCCCCCCCCCCCAGGCAGAACACACCAGTCAGCATTGGCCCCAAACCCCCCCCCCCCTCCCCCAGCAAGAACACACCGGTCAGCACTGGCAGCCAATCAGGTGCTGTGGTTTTTTTGCTTCGGCTTTTTTTTTTTTTTTTCCCATTCCCATTCGACAGAAGCCAGCCATTCGACCAGCTTCTGTCAGACAGATGGATGTACACACGGGTCGAATGTTGGTCAGTTTCTTTTAAACTGACCAATATTCAGCCTGTGTGTACAGGGCTTTAAGTATTTGACAATACTTGTATTGGTCAGGTGTGGAAGTATGGGGGGGATCTCTTAACTTTTGCTTTATGGATGGGTCTCAAGCAGGGGTTCACTTCTGAAAGAAAACCATACTTTTTAAAAGCTTCATTATCTCCAGCCTCTGTTAATTTAAATACAAAGTTTTGAACTGATTACTATGTGCTTGGCTATTCTCTTTTTGTTGAACGGTTTAATTATGGTTGTTATCTAAAGAAAAGGATGTAGCTCTTACTATAACTGGTTGAATGAGCATGATTATATTGATATAGAGTGCGTTTGAAAAAGTATTCATACTCCTTGAAATTTTCCACGTTTTTGTCATGTTACAACCAAAAAGGCAAATGTATTGTGATCTTATGTGATAGACGAATACAAAGTGGCACATAATTGTGAAGTGGAAAAAAAAATGAGAAATGTTTTTTTACAAATATGTGAAACGTGTGGCGTGCATTTGTGTTCAGCCCCCTTGAGTCGATACTTTGTAGAACTTCCTTTTTGCTGCAATTACAGCTACAAGTCTTTTTGGGGATGTCTCTACCAGCTTTGGCACATCTAAAGAGTGACATTTTTGCCCATTCTTCATTCAATCTGACAGAGCTTGAGTGATTTTGCAAAGGAGAGTGTCTGTTAACAGCAATTTTCAAGTCTTGCCACAGATTCTCAATTAGAATGGCCCAGTCAAAGTCCAGACCTAAATCCAACACATGAATATGCTTTGATCTAAACCATTTCATTGTTGCTCTGGCTGTATGTTTAGGGTCTATGTCCTGGTCTATGTCCTGCTGAAACCTCTGCCCCAGTCTCAAGTCTTTAGCAGACTTGAACAGATTTTCTTCTAAGATTGCCCTGTGTCTGGCTCTATCCATCTTACCAGCTTCCCTGTCCCTGCTGAAGAAAAGCGTCCCTACAACACGATGCTGCCACCACCATGTTTCACGGTGGGGATGGTATGTTCAGGGTGATGTGCAGTGTGGGCCAAAAAGTTCAATTTTGGTCTCCTCTGACCAGAGCACCTTTTTCTACATGTTAGCTGTGTCCCCCACATGGCTTCTGATTAATGCTCTCCTTGCCCAGCCTGTCAGTTTATGTAGATGGCCATGTCTTGGTAAGCTTGCAGTTGTGCCATACTCCTTTTTCCATTTTCAGATGATGGATTGAACAGTGCTCCGTGAGATTTTGAAAGCTTGGGATATTTATTTATTTTTATAAACCTAACCCTACTTTAAACTTTACAACTTTATCCCTGACCTGCCTGGTGTGTTCCTTGGCCTTCATGATGCTGTTTGTTCACTAATGTTCTCTAACAAACCTCTGAGGGCTTCACAGAACAGCTGTATTTATGCTGAGATTACATGACGCACAGGTGGATTCTATTTACTAATTATGTGACTTTTGAAGGCAATTGGTTCCACTAGATTTTAGTTAGGTGTATCAGAGTAAAGGAAGCTGAAAACAAATGCTCACCACACTTTTCAGATATTTGTAAAAAAATTTCTCATTTTCCCTCCACTTCACAATTATGTGCCACTTTGTGTTGGTCTATCACATAAAATCCCAATAAAATACATTTACAGTTTTGTAACATGACAATATGTGGAAAATTTCAAGGTGTATGAATACTTTTTCAAGGCATTGTATAATATAGCTGCTGGTTTTTTCCACACTCTTGTCTAATTTAACCAGTATTTGTGTGTCGTTGGCAAACATTTCTGACAGCCTGGTAATACTCAAGGTATTTACTAGTGCCAAATAAGCCAGTAATCCAGAATTCCAGTATTGTTTCCTATTAAATAGGCTTGTCTTATTGTTTGTGACATTCTGATATACAAGCTTTTATCTCCCAGTTGAGTGATGAAAGCCTGCCTTGTATTGTACTGCCCATCAGCAGCAGAGGGAGTAAATGACGTACCAAAATTGACGCAAAAGTGGACCATCTGGATGGTCACCATCAGCAACAAATTCACCTTTTAAAAAGCAACTTGTTCTGTTTATACTATTGTACTCCTACTCTATTTCCATTGTTCCACAACTGTTCAAAGGAAGCCTGGAATGTAATGCAAAAGGATATACCTTAATGCTCTGTTCTCAGTACTTGTCTGTAGCTTATGCTCAGCACTTTTTAACCCTTGTGTATACTTACCAGCATTTTCTACATAAATGTGCCTTTTGCATAGATCGTGCTGGCTGTAGTCTGTTCAGTCATTAGGAATGGAACTTGACTTAATAAAAGTACTGTATCAAATGGAGTGCTCATGTTAAAAAAAAAAAAGTCTGCAGGGAGCAAAAGCAACATTTAAGCCTATTACAGAATTATGTTTAGTTAAACTGGCAGCCAGAAGGTTATGCGTGACACGTCACTCCATTAACAATTTTCTTTTTTTTCTTTCGTAGTATTAAAGCAAACATGAAATCTGCCAAGCCCTATTTATCTTGAAAGTAGTGTTATAGCTCGTATTCCATTTTTGAATAAACACCTTCAGCTAAATTGCATTCCCATGCCTTTAGCAGACATATGCATGTGGAGAAATAAAAAAATCAGGATCTGTGTATGTCAGCTTCTCCACCTCATCATGTCATAGAAGTCAGTGAAGAGTATAGGCATAGTCACAACATGGTCTTTTTTTTGAATGCCAGTGATCAAAAAAAAGCAAGGTAAAAACTGATAATTTGTGTTCTGGATTTTGTTAGCAATATATCCGGTTTTATTTTATTAGTAGTATATCCAGTTTCAGAAACCAAAAGCAAATCCTTGTCCGAAACAGCTCTATCATTACAAGTATATTTAGACCGGAGTTCTTTTGTCACTGGTGCTGTACCTTGCTGTACCCTCCATGTACTCAGTTTTGGCCAGCACTATTGCCTTTCAGCAGTGTATTTAAGAAGTCCTTTTATCTTTTGTAAATGTGCCTGTGTAGTTAATTTTGTGTGCGTGTTTGTGTTGTGTGTTTTGTTTTTTGTTTTTTTTTTAATACATCTTTTTGATACATTTTTTTTCCAAATATGATCTATGCAATAATTTTACTTTTTAATGAGGACAGTCAAATTATAGTTATGAAAACGTGTCCTATTTAAACACAAGCCTTTTTTTCCCTTTTTTGCTTTTGGCCTGTTGATGAGAACCAAGGCAGATTTACAGAACTGTAAGGGTCTTTGTACACCAGCAACCGAGTTGCAGTGCACAGCCCGTCATTAACATGAATGTTTGCTGCTGTACTCTGTTATACACCGGTGCTATCGTAAACAGGAGTATATCATATGGGCGAATGCAAACATAATTTTATGTTTTTTGCATACGTAAAATGGTATTTCTTTTGACTTTTGCATGCTTCTGTATGCTATACTCAAGTTTACAATAGTACAGCAGCACATAGCCAACCATGTCTGAGGAACTGCACACTGCACTTGGTGTCTTTTCCCTGCCTGGGAATCCCAACTCTTATGGTATACAGGCTCAGACCTGTGTACAAGAGGCCAAATTGGCTGTCCTTCCCCCTCCCCCACCCTTAGAAATTCATGGTGCTGATTTGTTTAAAAAACAAAACAAAACACTTGTTTATAAAAAAAAAAAGCAAAAAAAAAAAAAAAGCATGTTTTACCCTGGCAACCAATTACTTTCCAGCTGTACTCTTTTCCTAGTGCAGGTAAGAAAAATAAAGGTGGGTTTTGGTTGACATGGGTTACATCAGTAGCATTTTGTTTTTCAGTACTGGTAATAGTGCCCTACAGTTGTGTGTTTTTTTTTTTTTTTTTTTTTTTTTTTTTTTTTTGTGTTCACGTTTTTTATTGAAACTTTTTTTTTTTTTTTTTTTCTGGCCTTGAGGTAATGCTTGTTTCATGTCCAACTTTTTTTTAAAGTGCATCATAATCCAAAAACAAATTTAATTATATTGTAGCTTATCCGTTTTCTGGATGTGGTGGCTGCAGGGTAGTCACCTTTTAAGCTGCTGTCCGGATTTGGTTTACAAATGCCTCCTCTTTGTCTCCATTACATAGGGAGTTAGTGTTCTGTAGTTCATGTAATATACTGGGAAATCTGATAACATGGTTTTAGATATCTTTTCCGTATACATGAATTTACAAAAT